TGTTCTAAACTAAATAAACGATTTTCGAATTTCTCCAAAACCTGGATATTGCAGGTCGAAAACAAAGCGCAAATAAGTAGTTTCCTATATGAACGTCTGAAAATCATCTTACAAAGAGAGAAAATCGAAGCACGATACCACCTAGCCAGTGAAGAAGGGCGAACGGGGGGCGGGTTGTGGTGTGCTTTGTCTGCGTGCCTCATTGTGGGTGTTAAATATATGCCTTCATCTCAACTCGAGGTTATCCGTCCCCGTCATCCCAACCTACCACAAACTGCTCTCTCCAAGGATTCAATCAATCAATCAATCAATCAATCAACTATCAACCTGCCTAGTTAGGCACTAACAACCAAGAGAAGAACGGCCAATTGCAATGGTATCCGCAGCGCCCGTCGCCCTTGTGCCGACTTTGGCGCTATCCTCCTCGACTAGAACTGCCGCGAACTCAAGAGCCATGATGGCAACCCCGCCTACGAAGCCGAAGCCGAAGCCGAAGCCTTCGAAATCCATCCTCAAAACCCACGTCTCTACACCTCCTGCAAGTGCAATCGGGCAAAAGCGCAAGAGGGTCGCCATTTCGGACCTGGGGCTTTCATCCGATGATCAGGATGCAGAGGAGGAAGGGAATGCCAGCAGTCCCGTGGCGAGGACACATCCCCCCGTCGCGAAGAAGCGGGCTCGCGTCAAATTTGAGATGGATATGCCGAGTCATAGCAACAAGCAGCAGCAGCGGCAAGAGCAGGATGATGATGATGATGGTGATGATGATGGTGATGAGAAGAAGGGTATCGAGAATACTAGGAACGAGAAAAGCACAGCGATGGTGCGCGAGGAAGTCCGTCGGGCCATCCAGCGACATTTGATAGGCGACAGCGAGGCGTATGACCGGGTCAAGGAGATATTTGCGGCGGATCCCACGGAGCTGGAGGATGATGGGTCGCCTGTGTATGACCTTCCGTCTCCGACGTCGTTGAGGAATCATCTGCTGGGTCTATTTTCGAACGTATCGGCGCTAGATGGGAGCTGTAGTGGGCTTGTACATGCGGTTTTGCGGAGTGAGTGGCTTGGAAGAGATGAGGAGTATGTCAAGTTGTTTGTGAGGTTTTTGGGCACGTTGGCGGCGGCTAGGGGGACGTACCTCAATTCTGTGCTGAGGGTTTTGGTTCATGGGTTGAGGCAGGGTGAGTTGGTCGTCTTTCTTTCTCCTTCGTCTTCTTGCTATTTTGTTGTTTGCTCTCGAGTTGGGAATTTGACTGACTGTTGGTTCAGCTGGCCCTCGCACTGGAAAGCTTCCTGGATATGCCATTGTGTATCCTTCGGAAATCTACGCTAGAGTTCATATGGCCATTAAGTATATCATTCAGCTTATCCCCGCTGGGAGCGGTGCGTTGTCGCCTCTGATTGCGTCCAGCTTCCCCCACGATACGGACACCGCCAAGGCGCACATCGTATATACGCGGAACATCATCAAAATCATCGACTACGCCCCGGAGCTGCGTTCGGATATCCTTGCACTCATTACGGAAAACTCGTGAAAATTGACGTGCAGTTCCAGTGGACCTAGAGGATGCGGACGAGGACATAGATGATGACAACCCTGTCGCATATCCTCACCAGAGCTATAGCATTGGGCGATCAAGATGACGAGGAGTCGGATACGG